CACATGAGCAGAAACCAAATCAAGAACATAATGGAAAGATAAAGAGTCCGTGATGCAATCAAAGATAAACAGACAAAAGGAAAAGAGACTAAGTTTTTGTACCACTTCATGATACCAAGAGCATAATCAAGCACAGCTAGCAAGTCACCATTTAGTATCCATCTATAAGGTTGTATGGCTTGCTGTGAGAGTTCCTATCTATAATTCCAAGTCTGAGTGGATTGAGACAAATGAGAGCACTGGGTGCAAAAATTATTCTGTCATATCTGGCGCTGCTGTCATTCGCATTGTCCTTGGTACACTGTGAATATTGCAGACATATACACACATCCTCCAACAAATCTCCCACTAAAGTAAAGACATTGTTCATTGCAGAAGTCTGTCCTACAATGGAACTTCTCTTCATTGAACCCAATGCTACGGCCTAACAAATCCGCCTGCTTGACCAAAATGATGATGACGGTATGATAGAAGTGGTCCATGGTTATGCTGTGGATCCGTCTGGATATACGGAGTAGGGCAGCATTTGACTGGTGTGGTGCGCTGTTTGAGAAGTTGGGCAAGGCAAGATTGAGATTGGAGAAGAACTGAAGTGTAGGTATAGAACAGTGCTTGGAGATGATGTGGTTGAGTATTTCGTCTGGCAAGGTGTTGGTGCTCATGATGCCTTAGAAGCAAAAGACCAGAGTTAGTCTACGCTTACTCTCAAAGATGTGCTGAATAAAACACACCAGCCACATTTACAATTGACTTTATACCCTACACCCCCTGTCTTGTCTGCCTCATTGTCAAGACTTTGGATTGACATGTCCAATAGCTCTTATTGTAATAAACTGTGCTACCCACTGGACAATTATACCACTGAGCCAAAAGGCCACTATGTCTTGGTATTAGACATAGGCGGGTGACACTATATATGCAAATTCACATGTTATTTGCACTCATCCAGCATGCATATAACACTTATGCCGCACACATACAAAATCGACCAATCTAATGCAATCATCAGATGCTCCACTTTGTTTTAGATCCACTTCCCCAGTGAGCATCTTTGTTGATGATACCAAGTTGAAGTGGGTTGATGCAGCAGAGAATCTGGGGCATGTCATGTACTCCTTTCTCCAGCATGTGTGTTACAACATCATTGGAAGGTTTGTACATGTATGCAAGGCGAATGCACAGGTCCTCCAGGTTAAGGGCTATAAGATTCAAGAGATCATTGACTGGAGGGCTATGGCCGCCTTCCATCTTGATTAGACGTGTCCAGCGGGAAAACTTGGATCTGCACATTGCCATGCTGCTCTTGAGCGCCCTTGCTTGCTTGAAAGTGGACATTATCACAGTATGATAGAAAAGCTGGATAGCAATGAGGCAGAACGGCTTGGAGACACAAAGTATGGCAGGACCTGGTTGGTTTGGTGTGCTAACAGAGAAGTTTGGCAAGAACAGGTTTGGATTTGAGAAGAACTGAGTGGTAGATATGAAGCAGTAATCTGCAAGAATCCGCTTGAGCACCTCATCTGGTAAGGCACTCACTGACATGGTGAGAGTAAGAAGAAGGAGCGGTTTGTGAAGACAGACGCCACTTTAACCCCACTGAAGTTTATACAAACAACAATCTCATGGTTCTCAAGGTGCGTGTCATGGCAATTTGACCACGTCAGAACAATAATATATAATAAATGCCTTACAAATACAGCCTCAGGCATATGACATAAGTTGACGTGTCGCAATCAAGCAGCCAAAGGTTCATCGGCTCTAGGAGGAAGAAAGAGCCATCCAGACATGACGTCCGACATTGACATGAACACACTTCAGTACTTACTACTTGGCCTCCACCTCATATTGCCTGAGCAACCGGATATCACAGTAATTGATGCCAATTCCGTCGTCAGTGGAACTCCACTTGCTCTGTGCGTATAAATACGGCGAAAACATCCAATCGAGAAGCCGCAGCGGCATGTCTAGTAATCGAGATCAGTGGAGAGCGACGAACGCATGCATAAGTGAGATTCAGCAAAACGAATATCATTTCAACCCACGCTCGTTTAACTGCCCCCGAGAGGGTCGAACTCTCGATCTCCCGATGAAACGTAATGTTTACAATCTCCATGTTATAACAGTCGGACGCTTTAACCAACTAAGCCAGGGGGCAGGACACTGTCACTTCCTCCCAAGAACCCTCATTTCTCCAAGTTTTCGACAAACGTTCACAGTTCAACTTGACACCCTCTACTAGTCCCCTTGTACCACCCAGCTCTCTAAGGAGTTCCCTCATAAATTGGTGGCAGACTGAGCGCAGCATTCTATTTATTTTGTCGCATGTACATGACACCTAAGTACTGAGTACGGAGTCCTCAGCTCCATGCTCTCATCGCGGTGAGAGGTCGAGTCGATTGAACTACATCGCAACCCCGGCTGCACCAGAGCTACACAGTACGAAGCGTATTCCATTCGAAGCTATCGCCATCTACCAAGAAACATCGCATGCAGTACTCGAGTACATCGCATCGCACATCGAGGCACATCACATGGGGACAAGCATCAATTCGAGAGAGAAAAAACCAGAACAACACCAGCCTACATACACCCAAACTTGTACCCATCGACACGCAAGAGCATACATAAACACACCCTTCTTTCATCGCATATCAAACAACAGTCACCATCTCGCCGCATTCTTCTCCCCGTGAGCCCAGCTCACCACACATTGCGCTACTCACTGCACCCCACCCCGCCAGCTCACTGCGCCCCACCCCTAGCCCCCTTCCCCCTCCACGCCGAGCCCCCACCAATCCCCGCTCCAGTTCCAAAGCTACCGAAATCAGAGCTCGACAACGTCCGTCCGCCAGCGCCGCCTCTTCCTACGCCTTGAGGAGTGGATCCTCCGCCTGGAGTGGTAGGCGATGAGCCGGGGACGAAGGAGGATCGGTATGAGGATTGGGGGACGGCTTGGATGGATAGAAATTTGTTTGGGAGGGGACGGTCGTCTGTGTTATACTGTATTTCGTCGCAAACATAAGATGAGTAAAAGGTCGAGATGGAAGAGATGAAGAAGAAAGAAAAAGAACCGACCTGGAACTCCAACCCAATCCCATCCCCCTCCCCCACATCCAAAAGCTTAACCAACTTCTTCCCCATCCTATTCAACCTCTCCACATCATCCTTCCCCCTCGTCCAAACCTGTATCCTATCCACCTTCCCCCTCAGACTAACCACCGCCCCACACACCTCATCCACCCCCTCCTCCAACTCCTCCCCAACAAGCGCCATCGCCAGCCAATTCCAACACCTGTCCAACAACCCCGGATTCGCACCTGATCTCATGGTAAGAACCCACTTCCCGCCGTCGGCGTTGGCCGGGTCCTCCCACATGGGTTTGATGCCGGATTTGAAGAGGTGGTAGTTGGAGTTGCGGGCGAGGGTGGAGGGGGGCTTGAGCCAGTTGAAGTAGCGGCAGAAGGACTCGACGGTGGAGAATTCGCCGATGACGGTGAGGCCGGCTTCGTATTCGCGTTCGGTGGTGACAGGGATCTCGGGGTTGGTGGGGGGATCGGTGGGGGCGGCGGCGGCGGGGGTGGCGGGAGTGGAGGGGATGTGGGAGTCGTGTGGGGTGGGAGGGGGGAATTTGGACTTGGTGTCATGGTAGATCGTCCTGCAGCCGTGTTCATTAGTCTAGAATGAAAGGAGGGAAGAGGGAAGGGGGAGACGAACCAGGTATACTGCAACGGATGCTCAGGCGCCTTCATATGCACCCCCGGCGTCTTCGGATCCTCAATTAACTCCGCCTCCGGCGGCCTCGACGTCCCATCCACACTCAACTGCTGCCTCGTCTCCGCCAGCCTCTGCGCAATCGCATCCAAACTCGGGATATTCTTGTACCCCACCTTCTTCTGCGGCGGTGCCGGATTAGGCGGGGACGAAGAGGCAGCGACGAGGGCGTTCTTATCCATGACGCCTTCTTGCTCTACAAGTCTATCGAGGCCTTCGCTGGTGAGGCGATCGCCGCCGCTGCTTACGCCGGTCATGGGGACGCCGGGGCCTCCGCCGGGTGTGGTGGAGACGGGTAATTCGCTAGAGGGTGTGGTGGGTGTTTTTGCTCCGCTCGTTCCATTCGGAGAGACGCTGCGTGTAGAAGGAGCTTGTACCGCCATCGAATCAGCAGCAGACGAAGCGTTGGTAACGAGAGAAGTGGTGCTTCCTGTGCGGAGAACAGAGACGGGTAAACGAGGACGACTGCTGCTCGTCGTCGTGCCCGATGACGCGGGAGGCATGGTGGATGCGTCGGACGATGAGTACTTGGCTGCTAGTTGGTTCAGCGAGGGACCACGCGGTTTTGAAGGTTTTGACATGGCGTTCGGTGTTCAGAGGAGTAGGTGGTTGTACAAAGGGAAGAGAGTTCGTTGACGTAGAGGATGAAACCGAGCTGGGAAGTGAGTTGACACGTGGTGTGGATAACGATTGTTGATGGCGATCACGATGATCCTCCTTTGCAGTGCCAGTGCCGACGTAGAAATGCTGCGAAGGATGAGATACGGATCCTGCGATGGTGTTAAGCTATCAGGATCTTCGCTGTATGAAGGCGATCTGTTTGTGCAGAGGGAAGAGGCAGCGAAAGGCGGTGGCAACCGTCTCTTCTCTTATCTACACAATATATCTGTGCGTAGCTGCTTTTCAACACATGCCCCCTGGCTTAGTTGGTTAAAGCGTCCGACTGTTAATCGGGAGATCGAGAGTTCGACCCTCTCGGGGGCAGTATAAAATGGGATGTTACTATTTTGCTACCAAGGTCGAGCAGAGAACACCTGCTTCTTCCAGTCGCTTAGTGGCCACTGGCAAGACCCCAAGTCCAAGTTCACCCATTCTTTTGTTTCTCCTTAACACCAAACTACTAGTCGAATCCTTCTTTGCGTTTCCTGTATCTCCTACACTCAAAAGTAGAATATGAAAGTATCTTCTGCTGCACTACAGCCATTGATGATTGATCCATTGAATCATCAGACGGACAGCGGCCACATCTCCACGTGCATCCCATCTCAACTCTGTTGACAAACCATTGTTGTCCCAATTTAGCATCATGCCCTCCCATTGTTTCTTGCAACATACTTCAATTGAGCAACATGACTGTTTGCTAAAACTCCCTGACTGGACGGAATGCATGCTGCGCCATCTTGTGTGTGGCGGACAGCGGCAAATGAGGGAGGTTGGTGCAACCTGGAGCTAGGGCTCTACAGATCTGAGAGGTGGGTTAAAAGCAATCTGGAGATCAAGCGCAAGACTGGATCCAACCACACACAAACTATTCCCCAAGACCAAGTTAGATTGATAGACTACAGAGAGGAAATACAGGAGACCCACCTATTCCCAAAGACCAAGAGGTCAAGATGGGAAAAGGGGGGTGAAGCAAAATTACAGACTAATATATGTGATAAACTACATCAAGGAACACGCAGCCTGAAGTAATCATAACATGACGGAAAACAATGACTGCAAAGATGTGCTCAAGTACTACTAGGAGAATCAACATATGAACACCCCAATGGAAATGATGCAAACCGGATTGGGCATGGATTTGAGAGACCGAGATGAGCAAAAGGGAATAAAGATAAACAAAGACCAAAACAAGACCATGCAAGACTTAGCCAGAAAAGTGGTGGAAATGGGCACTTCACCACAGCAAGAGACTTGACAAAGAAGGCAAGAGAGATGTTGGAGAGAGCGAAGCAGCTTCCTGGGCCATTGCAGAACTCGGGTTCCGTGGGAGAGAGGTGCTGGGATGTATACTTGTCAAAGATCCGTTGTTTTTGGTCATAACTGCACCAATGTTGCGTCAACCCCAGCAAAAGTAACTGGGCTGGGACAATGAGGTGGCCCGGGTGTCGCCCCTTTCTTGAATCTGCAGGATTGATTGAGAGTGAGGTGCTGGAGCTTGGGTAAGGACATGAGGATCCTGATCATGGGAGGCAAGATCACTGGCCATTTGGGTTTGAGTAGATCATCTTCTGAGCTTTGAGGCTGTTTTTGTTGTTTTCAAGATGAAAGACAAAACGTCTGCACTGAGATCCCGGAGATGTTAATTGCACCCGACGTGGACGTTGCTCAGCTGGGTGGTATCGGCGCGTGCAAAAGTTACAGCCTCAGAAAGGAGCCTTTTGCCTATGTCGGTGTTACTGCATCTCCAGTATTTGGTAAAACACTTTCTCTTCACCGGCAACGACAAGATGCTTGGTTTTCGGGAGAGGGCGTTGGTTGCCCCTGCGAAGAGCTGCATTCCTCCTCGATTTACACAGCGTAAACGAGCGCGAGCGCGAAACATTGCTTTGTCGATCCACAGGCACGGGCGCTAAACGGGAACAATGGCGGCACCGCCACAATTCCACGTGAACCCAATTTGGCATGGATTACCTAATTAGGAACAAAAGGAACGGCACAAAAGAGGAGAAAGCTCAGTGCAAGAACAATGCAGGTTGGAGTTGTATTATAAGCTGGCCTCTCCTCCGCATTGATTTCCTACCTTGTCTCTTGACTCACTTCGACTTTCTTCTCCTATCTCTCCACCCTTCTCAAGGTGGTCATAGACGCTTGACTTTTTCTTAACGAATACCTTTTTAACGAAACGACGACATGTCTTCAAGTGAGTGTTTTTTTTTCAGGTGTTTCTCCTATTTCGCCTTTTACTGACGATGATGATCTGCAGTTAACCTCCAACGCCGCCCACATGCCACCACTCGCGCACGCCGCTCACCTACTATCCGTATCCACAAACAACCACTACACATCATCCACGAGCTTTCCGGCGACGAAGATGAGGCTGTTCCTCGCTTCTGTATCGCCGAGAATGAAGAGCAGGCTCTGAGAGCTCCTAGTCCGGCGTTCACCATGATGACGAGGGCTGGCTCAGAAGGAAAGACAAAGATGGAGAGGAGACAGGCCAGCATTGTTCCTATTGGAAGGAGCTCGCTTGACGAGGAGCGCACTACTCTGCAAGTGCCGAGAAGGTCACAGGAGGCGGAGTCTCCCGACTCGTTCAACATCACGTTCAGCGACAAGCCATTCGACTTCCCTCGCCCGCCACTCCCTACGCCTTCCTCAGCGAAATACTCCACGCCTTCCTTCCCTTCTTCCCCCACCTCGTCATCTTCTTCCTACTCCTCCTCCTCCTCCTCCGACTCGGAAGAGTCCGACTGCCAAGAACCAACCAAAACCGCCATCGAGCCACTCCGCATCATCAAACGCCGCCGTTCCCTCTCCACCGCCGTCTCCCGCGCTCCCCTTCCCCACTCCCCCTCCTCCATCATCGTTGCCTCCCTCTCCTCCGACGAAGAAGACCACCACCACAGCGAGTCCGACTCCGACGACATAGGGTTCTACGCCTCGGAATTCAACAAAATCCTCACCCTCTCCTCTCCCCTCCCTCCCAACTTCCCCCGTCCAGAATCGATGTACGTCCCCGCAGGAGGAATCTCGACCCAGCTCGACCCAGCGTTCGCTCAGGCGATGAAGAAGGTGAAAAGGTCGTCGCTTGCGCCGATCAGGCATTCCCGACCTGCACCCGCCCCACCTGCGGTTATCATTTCCCCGTGCCCATCGCCTAGACCGCCCCCGCGTCATTCGGTTCCTACAGATTTTGAGCTGGATGAGGAGTGGGAGGGGGAGATAATCGAGCTTGTTGAGGATGCGCAGTCTGCCTCTTCCCCCTATCCTGCGTCGTTCGTGCCGGAAGATGTAGACGAGGATAGCTTCTACGCTTGCTATGGCGACGAGGAGGTCGAGAGTTTAAGCAACTTTGTGCTTCCGGGGGTGGAGAGGGTTGCGGAGGATTTGGTGGAGGAGTTGGCGGTTTTCGGTGCACCTTCGCCGTTGTCGTCTGGGTTCCCTGCTTCGCCCTTCCCCACATCCCCGTTCCCGACATCGCCCGTTTCGCCAATCTCCTCCGACTCGCTCTGCGTTCCTAAACCCGACGCCCGCCTCGTCGAGCCCATCTCCGCACACTCTTGCCAGGCAGAGTTCTTCGAGGTCCCATTCACCCAGCCCTCTTCCCCCTCTGCATCCACCTCCGCTTCCCAGGTTGACGAAGACGGGGATGTAGATGAAGAGAGAGAACGCGCCCTCCGCTCCCGCTGGTCATCCTCCACCCTCTCATCTATGCACTCGACCACTCACCAGAAACATCATTCACACTCTTCTTTCCTTTTGTCGCCTTTTAAGGGATACTTCGCTGGCCGCAGCGCTAAACAGTCTTCGCCCCCCAGTACGCCCCCTAGCAAGATCAGGTCTGCTTCCCCATCGAAGGCCCGCTCGACTTCGCCCAGCAAGACGAGGTCGACGTCGCCTGTGAAGATGTTCACGCGCGAGAAGAAAGCCCCGGCACCACTCGTCTTCGTCTCGCCGACTTCTTTGCCGTTGCCGAGCACGCCGTCGCCTACGAGGCCTGCGAGGCCTTATGCGTATAGGATTGAGGGTGAGAGTCCGGTTTCGGCGTGGAGCTTCCCTTCCACTCCTGGGTCGTCGGGGTCTCCCAGCCGACGCAAGCCGAGGACGAGCGAGTCGTCTTCCCGATCGGAAACCAGCTTTATGTCGGGGTACAGTGGAAGGACCGGTGCGAGGAGCGCGGCGAGCTTTAGGAGCGAGAGGAGCGTGGGGAGCGACGAGAGTGTGATTAGCTGTGGGAGTGTAATGAGTGAGGGGGGGTTGAGGAGGAAGCCGATTCCGGTCGAGATGTTTTTGAGGGCGTAGGGTTTCGAGTCGATTCTCTTGTGCTTCTTTCTTTCCCTTGCACTTCGTCTGTCCTGTGTCCCTCGCATCCTCTCTTCTGCCACTCGCATCCTCTCTTCTCTCTCTCTCGCATCCTCTCTTCTGTCCCTAGCATCTCCTTCCCCCCTATCGTCCTCTCCTCCTGCACGATGGATTGTAACGTTTCTCTTTATCTGTTTCTCTCTTTGATTTCATGCATATACACACCTTTCGCGGACGCCCGAGGCGATCCTCCTTTTCTACAAACGTGTTTGATCCCGTTTCATTATTCTTCTTTCTCTCGTCATATCCTAATCTTCCAACGCGTATTCCGGTGGCTTTTCTCTTCCTTCTCCCATCTCTTTTCTCTCCTTTCTCTCGTTTTTTGCTCGGTCTCTCTCTCTCAGTCTCTTCCAGTTTCTCGACTGGGAGCTCACGCACTCTGACGTCATCTAATTATTCCACCACACACCCACTGTATCTACCACCGCCTGCGTGCACACTTTCTTTACCCTTCTTGTAGCTGTATTTACATAACGATGAGTAATGATGATGATGAGTTTTTTGATCTTATCGGTGTGAGTGTGTGTGATTGAAGTTGTATGGGAGGGTGGGGTCGGGTTGGATGGGGAGATGGTAATGGGAGGAGTGCAATACTTTTGGAGCAATATATAAAAACGGCAAAAAGGACTGATATCGGCGCTATAGTGTAGTGGCTATCACTCAGGATTCTGATTTCAAATCAGCTTGTTGATCATCTTCCTGTAACCCAGGTTCGAACCCTGGTAGTGCCTTAAGTCGCCTTAAGTCTGGCACAATACAAGTTTTTAGTGTTTTTTACCGTTTTACCCAGACCGTCTTGCCCAATACTTGAGTTGTACAGCAGAGAGAACTGCACGGCGATTCGTGGCGTGGCAAGCAGCCAGCTGCAAGCGAACCATCATACGCGTTCTGCCTGCAGCAAGTCGGCACCAGCCAGCTCTACGGTACTACGTTGTACTACAGTATACAGTTACTCAAGATGACAAGCTTCAGACGCTCCTCCTGCCATTGGCTCTGTTGGCCCAGACCTCCAAGATCGCTCATCCAATCATGATTCGGGCTCGAATTCGACATTTCATCATCCTGGTGTCTGGACCTGATTCGTTCTCGCTCTTCCCTCCAGTCTAGACCTCGCATGTGATGGCTTTGCGAGCACCCAATCGTTCTAGACGACCGTCACGACGCGAGAATTACATACTCAGCGAAAGATGGACAATTCATCCTCCTTCACTTCCACTTCCATCTCACTCGGAATTCTGCTTCTTCCTCAAGTCTGTCACGCAATTAACGCAGTGCACTAGTTGATCTTAACATGAACGCGTTGTCAGCTTCCGCTAGAACTTCTCTCTTCCGCTCTCCCATCTCCAGAGTTCCAGAGTTGGGTCGAGCAAGTATGGCGACTCTTGTGCAACCGGCTCAGCCTGTAACGCTTTACGTGAATAAGGTGAGTTTCGCGTTCTGTACTTGTGTCGGGGGGTTTTATAACATGCTGGTTGTAGCACTGCCCGTATTCGCATCGAGTCTGGTGGGCTTTGGAGCATTGCAAGGCGGACTACCAGCGATTCATCATCGACCCATCTAACCGCCCTGCGTGGTACCGTCGCGAAGTCACCAGCTCTGGCAAAGTTCCAATCATCGCGTACGGAGGGCCAGTCGTCCCAGCTGATGAGCCCAGCGACGACAGCGTGAAAATCCCAGAGTCAGCCGTTCTTCTCGAGGTGCGCAACTTCTCCATTCTCGTCTGATCCATTCATCCCGGTTCTCACCTTCATTATCACACAGTTCGTCGCCGATCTCTTCCCCGAATCCAACCTCATGCCCAAGGACCCCGTCCAACGCGCCAAAGTCAAGCTCTTCATGCACACCGCCGCGACGTCGTACATCCCCCAGTACCTCAGCTTCCTCATGCGCGACGGCCCTCTCGACGAGGTCCTCTTCGGGCTGCAGATGCTCCAGGAGCAGCTCCCCATCGAGGGCCGTGGCGAATGGCTTCTCGGTGACCAGTTGAGCATTGGTGATATTGCCGTCGCGCCATTCCTTCCCAGGATGGAGCTGGCCTTCGGCAACGACCTCGGCGCATACGCGCCGGGAGAAGGCACAGAGGCATTTAATTACCTCAGGAACGACCCGGGGATGAAGCGGTACCGACAGTACGTTGATGCGATCAACGCGAATGAGGGGTTCCAAAAGTCGTTTGATATCGTGAGTGCTTCGCTTCGTTCTTCTCCCGTTGTGTTGTGTTATGTTGTTGATGCTGATTGGGATGGCTTTGTTTTTTGTTCTTTAGGAGCACGTCAAGAAGTTCTTCACGGCGAAGCTGAACTATCTGCGCGAGGCTAGACGCGCGACCCAGGGGCTGGGGCTCTAGTAGCTCTAGTAGCTAGATTGTTTTCAATTTCTTAGCTCGATCATGTACTGGGCTTGTTTGTCACCGCCAGGGCCAGGCACGGTGGTAGGTGGACTATGAGAGAACATCGTTTGTCAAAGCGTCTTGTTACAGGATGAGATCGGTTTCAGTGCTTACTACCACACCGTCGGAAGAATATGCTGTCAGTGGTACCGTTTTGTGGGGTGAAGGCTATGATCGTGCGGGGGAAGAGTCGTAAGCGAGGTTTCATCTGGTTCATATCGTCCGAGTTAAAGATTGGAAGTCGAAGTCGATCTTACAGGCACTGTAGTCCTTCTCACGAATCAGTAACGCTTGTTACTCAAATGACGGGCCGCAGGAGGAGGTGGACGCTTGTTGCAGCGGCCTTGCTCCAACGCCTTCTAAGACATACAGCGCATGAGCCGAACTCCGATGCTGTTCAAAGTGAAGATTTTCGTTCTGTATTGGAGCTCTTCTCGTCGACGTCGGCCCATACGCGCACACATGGGAAGAATCATGCGTTCATCAAGACTCATAGAACGTAAAGATATGCCTGAGGAAGCAGTTTCTTATCTTTGCAGCTCCCACGTCCATTGACCTAGGGAATATTCCACACTTCACTGTGACAGAAGTAACATGAAAGGGTGCCAGAAGGCTGGTTTAGGGTCGCCTGAGCACGGACGAATGGCTTCTCCAGACCGGAAGCTGCTGGTCGGGGTACTAGGAGCCATTCCACTTTGTTCCCTGGGACTCAACACGAAATGCGATCTGCGGACGCTCCTGTTTGAATGAGAGTCGACACTCTCGCTGAGCCACTTATTCCACCGAGCGGTATACACGGCTGAAGTCCTATTGCCACCGGTTACGTACGTACAGCAATTCTAGGTGTGGAGTTTGTGAGAAACTCAATAACGTGAACATCGAGTCGGACATCAAGATGGTCGGTAAATTCTGGCAGCGCAGCGGCAAACAAAACTTTTACTATATTGTGACCAGAAGAACGTTAAGGTCTTCTCTCAATCTTCTTTCTGTACTTCTGGGCCGAACCAATCCTTGATGACGAAGTCTGTCCGACACACATGGGTATCGTCAGTACGCTCAACTGAGCTCTCCTCTGGGTCTTCAAACCGATGTGTCAGTTCCAACGGCCTCAAATATGACCAGCCACTCTAAAATACAGGTGAGTACCTTCTCGTGGCTGAAATGCTTTGCTGTTCCACCTGCTAGCAGGGGACCGGTAAAGATACGGTGCGCTACGATCTTTCTCATTGCTTAAACTCTTCACTCGAATTGCTGTTGAGGTAAAAATACCTACGGGAAGCTACTGAGGGCTTCTATCGTGGAACGCACATTATGCGCGCTGCAGGAAGAGAGAGAAGCGCTTCCCATCGACGCGGCAAGCTGACCTTGGTGCTTAGGCCGCCGTCGGAAGCTGATTCTCCTCCTGTCTGATCCACGTACCGGGATGAGTTCCTCACGCAAGTACTTCACTGTTGGGAAAAACCTTGCAGTACCTGGCCGAAACTTGCAAGCTTCTTTAAGCGAGCATCGGCTGTCCTTCAAACACGTCTCTCTGATTTTTTTTTTGCCGGTGACGCCATGGCGGGAATCGCATACACATCCGCTTGCTTGCCCAATCTCAGGTCGATCTGGCATGTTTGTTTGCCACACGTTGGTTGCGAGTAATCAATTTCAAACCTTTTTAAAGTTTTTAGCTGCTCAATTGACCGTGTAGATACCGTATCATCCCCTGTTGTGAGATCATTACGTACTCGAGTTGGGGACGTGCATGGGCATCGAGTCAGGGTTTTCTGCAGTAATGACATCTGCACCGAAGCATCTATCCATAGCTTGAGGTCTACTTTCCAGTCACTGCTCGAGCCTGCGTCAAACTTGCGATCGGAAGGCTTGGCTCTTAGATTACCTCGCGTTAAAGTTAGTTGTTTGTTAGCGTTGACACCGCCGGTCCCGCTTCCGATGATGCACATGGCCGCCGACTGCAGCGATTAAGCGCTCGAAAGCGACCTTCGGACTCCCCTCATCCTCCAAATCCAGACTGCGGAAACATCCGACGCTACGATCGGGTGTATGTCATCGCGGCACCTCCTGTTGAGATGCTGGCGAGTGCTGTTCGAAGGCTGGCTTTACTTATTTCCAATATCCACGTGGGCTGGAAAACTGTATTCGTCCAGGGGTTGAGTCCACCCTCAACTCTCGCTCTCACCTCCTTTGCTCTTCTCTATAATACCACCATCCACTTTTGGACCAAGTCCATTCCCTTCCTTTCACTCCAACCCAGGCTCACCCGTCGCTCACGTTCATTACTCGCATTTCCCGATCGAGGGCCGACGATCATTCTCCTTCAACGTCGTTCGCGGTCTCTACATAGTACGCGCGCTCATATTCTCTGCTGTTGACTCACGACTAATAGCTTACTCCTTCCCTTTTCATCCATCCTAGCCTTTAACGACCTTACATTATATCCCACTGGTCTCATGGCCTATTTACCGACCACCCCATTGAGGACGCAAACTCGGTTGATCAGCCCTCTACATTCTGCCTCTCCTCCTCCTAAACAGCGTTTCAACGATGATTCTTTGCTATACACATCCGACCAGGACTCTTCTTCTTCCAATACTCCAGCCTCCAAGCGCGCCCTTCGCAGGACGTACGAACCCGAGAAACGAAAGCGCTGTCGAGTCACGCCAGAACAGCTCACCCATCTCGAGAACTTCTTTGCCAGCGAAAGGAGCCCTTCCGCGTACCGACGTCGAGAAATCTCGGAGTTTCTTGGCATGAATGATCGACAGACCCAAATCTGGTTTCAGAACAGGTGAGTGTTGCTTTGGGTTTCGCCCTTCCTTACCCCTTTGCATCATCCATACTTATCGTGAATCCCGTGCTTCAAAGACGTGCTAAAGAGAAGCAGTTGCTTGGGAAGCGCAAGGCCGCGACTAGTGTCGAACGCTCTTCCTCCCATGGCGTTGCCGACGTGCTTGAGACCGAATCTGTTATCAACATTATCTCCGTCGTTCACGAGGATGGTCGTGAGTACCAAGTCCTCGCCTCTGCTCCGCCCTGCATACTTATCTGATCTCATTTTGCAGCTATCACCCTTATTCCGTGCACAGACATCACCATAGGGACTTGGCGACGCGTTTCCACTTCCTCGTTGGACTTGGTTGCGTATAGGAACGACGGACGTCGCTGCCTCGCCTGGTACATTCGGTCCGCCGGTTACGGCTTCAAAATGGAAATCCCGTTCGGTTTCATTACTGAGATGGACTTGGTTCCGTCCCCTTCCGGTCTTGCCGTTCTCGTCGTGACACTCTCTCGAGCCCCTTTGTTCTTCATGGAGGCCGCCGACGCCACAGCACACGGGGG